TCGACGAGCAGGTAAGCACTGAAGTGCAAGTGGCCTATTTCTCAGCGAAGTTTAACAGCGCTTCGGTAGGTTTTCACTCCGGTAGGACTGGATTTATCTGAAAAGGTCCTTGTCACACCGAATGGGGCGAAGCGCACTTGTGCACTACGGTAATAAGGACCCACTGGCAACTTAGTATATATGTCGGCAGAGTTTTCAGGAGGCACCGACGTTTGAGACCTGCCCCACTGGATTCAACACCAACTCTATAATCCTAGAGGTAATCTCTGGTGGACATTGCCGTCATGTTCTAGAGTTGGTGGAAGAAGTCTTTGCGGTACCCAACTCGAGCTGTCTGGCCGAAGAACTCCAGGGTTTCGGAACTGATACTCTAATTGGAGCGTCGTTAGATAAATCCAGGAGCCCTTAGTCGCATTGCGGACAGGTTTGATTGATGACACTTTGCTGCAAAGCGAGACCGCATTTCTTGGTTAAAGGACCCAGCTGTTTTGCGTTGCTGTAATTTCATGACATCGAGGTGTCTTGTTCATTGCCTTTTTGGGGTAAGTGAAACTTTAACTTCCAGTTGCGTTCAGATGAGAATGTAGCGTGAGGTCAGAATAGGGTCGGATGTGGTTATGTAGCCTCAACTGAGGCAAACAAACCTCAGCCGCCTGTAATACGGGACCGGTGGTAATAGGGGTTTTGACAGCTGGGGCCGGGGAACGTACAGGCGACGAGGCGAAGTAGTTGTATGCAAAAGAAAAGCCATTGGGAATGCGCGGTTGTACTTTGAGTGGTTGAGAAATAGTTGCGCTAACCCCTAATTCTAAACCCTGACCCCTAAGCATAACCCCAACCCCAACAGTATTGTGTCCACTAGGTGGGGCTACCAAACCACATCTTACCCAGACTAGATCCTAAGGAGTTACAATTCATGCGAAACAAATGCCATCGGCAAGCACTAGGCATGGACATTCGAATGAGCGACGGTAGAAAAGACGGCGAGATGGTCGAAGCGTATTTATTGTCCCCTTACAGACTTGAATCAACCGCGCCCTTCCTCAGGTCTCTTCAAAGCGTCTGTATCGTCTTCGGCCGGGCTGACCAGGGTATTTGCTGACTGTCTCCCTATAAAGAAAGAAAGGTACAATGCACAAGCATTAGGAAAAGTCTTGTTGCGTTACAACAACATGGTTTGACCCATGCGCGTTGCTAGTTCCAGCATTACGCATTGGCCTTGCTATCATGAACCTACTTACAAAGTCTTGAGTCGACCAGAATGTCGTCAATCTGTCTGTCCATACGACCATTGCTCTCCAAACTAGCGGCATTCCTGGAATTGCGTTGTGGTCACGATCAGCAGGTTCTGGTTAACAAAACGCAACATTCTCCACTTTTGCTTATTTCAACTGATGTTGGTGTATAGATTGAGACTGTGTGGATGTTACTGAAGTGCCACACCAGTCGTTCCATTAGGTAGCTGGTCTTTGGGTGGTTTCCGCGCGATCGGTGCACGATTCGTCTTTTGTGAGTATGATGCCCATGCCATGTCCGGCAGAAGAGTCGCGTGGGTCGCCGAGATATGGGTTGAGGTGGGAGTTGACCTCCGGAATCCTGACGACCCCCGAGCCTGAGTCGGGAATTTGGACTTCCGGCAGGCGACCACCATCCGTGTTGCACTGATTAAGATTGCACGCTGTAAGAATTTGAGTACGAGGCTAGAGAACCGTTCACTTGTTCCCGTTTCCCATCGCAAAGGTCCGTCCTTCATCAGGACTCTGGTTCTCATGCTACTCGCCCGCGCTCCTGAACCAATATTATGTAGCGAGTCAGCTACCGCGGACCTCGTGTCATGAGTCCGTAATATTTGACTCGGACATTCTCACGAATTTGGAAGCTTTAGGTACAAGCGGGTCCGCAGCGGCCGTCCGGCTTGTTAGCTGAAGTTTGCCTCCTCTGGATCATTAGCGGAAGAACTTAGCCGCGAGGCAGCGGTGGCAAAAAGTCTGCATGACGACGGCGCATGATGGCCATGTCATAGTGCCATCATCAGACTTTTTGGTATTTTATAAGGCAGTCGGCGCGCCAGACCTCAGCTCTCCGCGCCTCGGTAACGTCCGCCAAAAAACGCGAACTCAGGACGATGCCAATGATTTTACAAGTATACCCTGACAGATTCGTTTTTCTTGGGCAGTCCTTAATTTTCATGCTTAAACCTAATTTCCGTATTCGGAAACTTGATCACCGCATCATTTGCAACAGCAATAGCAATAATAAACGGAACATAAACCACAAAGATGGAGATTTTCAAACAGGACAGGCTAGCTGAATGCATTTCGCCTATGGAGTGTCTGCCACATAATCCTCTAACTTTTCCTTGATTTGATGGGCCTCAAACCATTTGGTATGTCTCCTAGACTGTTAATACCTTCAAGATTCACTTTTATGTTCGTTGACAGTGATTATACAGGATCCTATTTCGAACCAAGTAGATCAGGCATGCCCAAAAGGGCGTCCTGGAAAACGTTCGTTCGGCTTTAGCAATGCCCTCTACAATGTGTCACTTCAAGATTTCAACCCCCTTGACTGAATTCGTTTGATTCTAAAAACTGATAGGCGCCTGTCTGCCTCACACAGGTTTTTCTCATGAAACTTTCGGCGATGATTCAGCGAGATGCTGCCAACACAACCGGGGGCGCCGCAGGCGATGGACCTACCGCCGACACCACCCACGGTTCTTCCGGCGTTTTCGACCAACTGGGTTCCGTTGTCGGAACGCCTGGAAGTCGCCCGTCCAGTGGAACCTCAAGAACCCCCACTCCTAGTCGTCCAAAGGTAGGCCGCTTCGCAGCTTATACCTCACTGATTGTAGCGGTATGGCTGCCTCTTGTTGCTACGATAACCCCAGCCCCTAAGGTAAATTGTGAACTGCAGTCAATAGGGGCCACAACATTCTTCCATGATTGAGGTTCGGATTTTCTGACGATCGTTTATTTGAGTAGGATTGCCGCTTCTATCTTCTTGCACCTAGCTACTACTTGATGTCTGCGTCCACCAGAGGGAAACTAGCTGGTGGGCAAGCGAACCTGAATCCAGTTGGGCTGCAAGAGCCTGAGCGATCTACACCTCGCTCTCGGCGACTGTAATACTTTGTCAGTCCTATCCTTTTTAAACGAATTGTCACAAGCTGCCTTTTTGCATTCCCGTCAAACTGAACTCTTTTTAGTTCGTCTCCTTTTAGGAGCAGTCCGGTATGTGTTCCCTCGGAAACCCCTATGAGTATTTTTCCTAGTTAATGCTTACTGGGAAAGGTCATTTCGCATGTGCACAGTGCTGTACTCTGCCACCTCTAGTGCCAGGTCCTTTGGTCTTGGTGGTTCCTCGTTGGTATGGAGTCAAAAGGCCTTTTATGTTCGGGTTTACAGACCATTTTGTTTTGCTTTTACTACCTTGTCCCTTTGGATTCGCAAGGCGGTGGGCCTACGTACTCCTTTTGAAATACATGTAAAATACGTTTTTTTCTAATAAGGCTGAACATGAAGGAAGTCTTTGTACAGCCATCAATGATCCTGACTTTTAGCCGTGTGAACTCACGCCTTCGGAGACTATTAAGGTAGGTAAGTGTACTCTTCTTAATGGTGACCCAAGTAACTTACGATTGGTTCAAATGAGGGGGAAGATATTACCAAACTCTCTTTTTTTTATAAAACTGCACTAGAAGGTATAGGACGCAAACGAATTTATTCCAAAATAACATTGAAACACACGTGTCTTATGGGCAGTTAGTCATTACAACGGGCCTCTCCGTCCCTCGTTTGTTAAGTCCCTCTGATTACATCGGATCGCATCTTCCTCTTCTTCCGATATGCTGGGTTTGTCTTTGCCCAGGGAGCCTTAGCGCTTGTATAAACGATTTATGCGAGCTCAAGGTTGGTTTGACTGACCGTATGGCTACTGCCTCTACATTTACAGGTATACGCTGATGCAGGAACTTGGAGTATCTCACCGACCTTTTATAGATGACTCGGAATGCTTGGTTGACGTCTACCCGGTGGCCGCTGTCAACCAAGTGAGCCACATTGCGCTAGAGATGGACTTTTTCACACCTTGAATTAGCCAGGCAGTTGGTGAGGCAGCAGGCCTTGCTTCGTTCCTGGCTTAGCGGGACCAAACTATAGAATTCTGTGGATTGCCCTGTCCATGTTTTCTTACGAAATACACTCCTACTAATTGTTCCATCCGGCCAGGAGTGGAAGGCACTCCCTGTTCTCTTTTTTCCTAGGTGAATTTTAACGCTGGATGAGCCTGATTCACTTTATGCAGGAGGATGTTCAAATCAAACTTTTCATCCGCTAGTGCAAAAATGTCATCAACTTATCGAGCGTGAGAATAAAGGTCCTTTGTAATTAGGCAGAGCTGGTTTTTCTCTAGTTTTCCCATGAAGACATCAACCAGTAGAGGTCCAAGAGGTGATCCCATCGCTACGCCGTCGATCTGGTGGTAAAATTGACCATCGATTCTGAATTGTACACTTCACGTGCAACGAAAGATCAATTCTTGTCGGCATTCCGATTGGGAAATCCTACCTTACAATGTCGTCATATAAGAATTCTATCGTTTCCGTGAGAGGAACGTTAGTAAATAAAAACGCGATTTCCTAGGCGTAATTGTAATATTAATTATCGGGCTGCATAATGCCAAGATATTTCAGTCACGCCGGGATGCCGACGTTTGGACAAGCTTCTTCCCGGCCGCCTGCATAAGCTACATTAAGAAATGACTACATACGTAGTAGGAATTTTTCCTATTGATTTTCAGTGCCCTTATAAATTCAAATATACTTCATAGAAAACGTGCACAAAAATACCCGTCCCCTTACTCTTTTGGTAAAGGACTACGTCTTCCTTGAAATTTTATACTTGGGGTAGCATCATTCGGTTTTGGTTTTTCCTATGCCTAAATAGTTTTGAGCCCGATCTGCCCGTTTTATTAGGCATTTCAGTCTTTAAAAATCTCATAACTAGAAACTTAAAAACCGAAAAATACTATTTTTCCGAGTATGAAATTCGAGGACGCAATTTGCTGCGAATTGAGTACAAGAAAAAATATTTTTTGCGCAGTTCTTCTATAAATAGGTTTGAATTTGCAAGGCCGTCGAAAATCAACAGGAGCATTTCATGCTGTCTAAGTAGCTATTTTTACAGTGAATTTATGCAGGCGGCCAGGAGGGATCTTGTCCAAATGTCGGCATCCCTGTGTGAGTGAAATGCCTTGGAAGTATGCTGCATGACGATTAATATTACAACCCTACTTATGTAGTCTTTCGGAGCGTGCCTCTGAGTTCGCATACCCATCTTTACCTAATCTCCCATTTGACTTTGCTTACTCCGAAATTAGGCTCTCCTGATCGGCAAACTCATCTTGTATACCCCTTATCGGTCCTTTACATCGTGATCACTTTTGGGAGCTGCACTCAGCTGTGTCTGTTATATATGACAACGCCGAGGTTCTTTTGAACATTGACAGTTCTTATAAAGACCACGTTGAAGTAGTGTTCTGAACGTCTCACCGTCTAACAGAATCCAACGTCATCGTTGCACGTTTCGAAGCGTTGAACTTTATACACCATTATCCACTTCAGTTATGTAGACTACATATATTTGCAGACAAAATGTTATTACCGTCAAAGACAAGGGAGACCGGGATGGCCATTTCTGTCTTATTAGCCGTCGTCAGTCAGTCATACTCAACCCCGAAGTGTGGAACACCTGGGGCTCGATCCAGCGAGCTGTTAGTTAGAAGTCCAACGTCTCTAACTACTGAGCCACAGGCTCGTTGTCTTGTCAGTTTCGATGCGGAATGTACAATGGTAGAGGGACGCCCACCGATCGTTTCTACGGAACTCACTCGTCCTGTTGTACCGATAAGGCAACGAGCCCGTGGCTCAGTGGTTAGAGGCGTTGGACTTCTAACTAACAGCTCGCTGGATCGAGCTCCAGGTGTTCCGCACTTCGGGGTTGGGTTTGACTGGCTGAGGACGGCTAATAAGCCAGAAATGACCATTCTAGTCTCCCTTGTCTTTGTCGGTAATACCATTCTGCCTGTATCAGTCTCCGCTGCGCGGCTGCTGGTTATGCCCGAAAGAACACAACGGGACGAGCGAGTTCCGCATAAACGATCGGTGAGCGCCCCTCTACCACTACCTATATCTATTTACAGAGTTATAAGGTCGGTCCTTTTCATGTTAGTCTTCCACAAAATTGACTTTGTTCATCAACTCATTTGGTTAAAATGTGAAAAGGAATGACTTTAGAGCGGATCTTTAAGGGGTACTGTTTTTAGCAGTAGACCACATGGATGCATCTCTCTGTCTGCTGCTCTCTCGAATAACCTATTTCAACCTTCTTTCTACATTCGTCTTTTTACTCAGACAGTGTTCACTTACCAATCTTTATAGTGCATCCGCTACGAAGAACTCACTTAATCGAATTTCCGTGTCATCTGCACTGCCATATCCTGATATATTTATGTCTATGTCTCCTTTGTTTAGGCTTGTTACTGTCCCTGTTTTTTGACTATCTGTCCCACCGCCTATTAGCTGGCGATAATCTGTGCGTAATTCCGAATTCCGCACTTTCCTAGCGAGCCATGTCTCAGTTGGAGTAACTGTCTGAATTTATAAGAAAGAGACTGATTTTCAGTTCTCCGAGCCTGCTGGAGAGACTTTGTGTGTTTGTGTAAACTATGTGCAATTTTGCTAGGTCCATTTTCATGCGCCTGTTGAATCTGGGCCAGAAGTTTACGCCTCCTGCTCAGGGCATAATTTTTAGATTTTTGAGCCAGTTTGGCTCACTGCTCTTACAATATTGCGCCAACAGAAAGGCCTAATGTGGTTCATGCCAACTGTCTATTGTTGATTCGTGGATCTTGCCGTAGGGCAGTTTTAATGACAAGTCCTATTATCAGTTCATTCAATTTATCCGTCTCTCTGAGGGAATGTTCCCATTGAACACAACGTCGTAGTGGCTTTACCCTAGCGCCGATACTCCGCGTGTTCTTTCATTTCGAAGATGACTGTCAACATTATTGCGTCTTTGGTTTCCTCACCCGACTTATCAAATCTGTCAATCCCGATCACATTTGTTCTTGTGGACAGGCTTATTTTGGATTCCCGATAACAGGACTTTGTAAATACCCTATGGCGTGTTTACGCTGCATTGTAGTCTCATTTTGGTGAGTTGTTTTTTTTATTCAAGCGGCCTCTTTAAAAGCGTTTTGATTGAGATTACATCGTGGTCCACGCTCCTACGGGCATGTTCATTCTGAGACGCACTTTTCTGCGTGGAAAACTGATCGATCCCCGCCTGACTCATTCTCGCTAAGGCTTCCACTTTGCCTAAGATCTGAGGAAAATTTGAAATGCCCAGGCTGATTTCCGTCTCATTTTCTAAGATTGAGATCTGTTTACGCAAGTAACTCAATTTTCATATCCGCCTTCTTTCAGAACTTGTTTACATTCGCTCGTTTTCAATTTACGCCCCCTGTCTATTGCGAGACTTTCCCATTGCGGTCTTCTACTCGGGTCAGAGTTCATAGCTCGTGGCCGTCGCTTCTAATTTGTTAAACTGTGTCTATATAGGAGTCTTCAGTTGGCATTTACTTCCCCAGCTCCTACTTCGTTCCAATTTATTTTCGGAAAATTATTCTTGGTATCTCTGTGAAATATGCATTTTCCAACATTTTACCAACTTCTACCTGTAAAGTGATTATATTCGAAGTAGACAGCCGGAGACAGCTGTTACCTCCGTCTGCTTTTTACCTCCCCACATTTGGTAATCAATTTCCCTGACCTGCCTATAAACCTAAAACGACTTTGTCACTGGGAACCCGTATTGTGTCAAGTTTAGGTCCCGCCCATAGCATTTGGTGTGTTTGGTGGAATAAGCCTTGAAGACCTATATGGCAAGAGATCGTTTAGCAGCCTCAATGGCCGAATTAAGCAAAAGTGCAAATTCTTCGATATTTCTCTTCCGTTTGTAAACCCTCTTCGCTTCTGTGCTTAGGTGCAGGCTCCTTAGGGCATTCACGTTCAGACTTGATCCGTTTTCCACGCATGTAAAGATGCTGCATCGCCGGGAGCTATATTCCTCTTTTTTTTAAATATATATTCAGGGTGCTGTAGGTGGCAGTGGAAGCTCCGGAAACTCATCGGAGAACGTGCTCGCCAGCTTCTTTAACAACCTTTTGAGCAAGCGTCCGACAGCAGCTGCACCAGCCTCATCTACTTCTAGTGACCTATCGGGTATGCGTTTAAATACCCACGTCCGTCCTGCTTCAGTTTCATTTATTATAAGTCTCATATGTGGCCCTTGTCCGTGTTTCCAGTTAGTATATACCCTGTTAGGATACTTTTTCTGCCTAAGAAGCCCTTTGAGTTTTATTGGAATGCCGTTTCTGAGAGCCTATTCAGAAGAGGATTTTTTCCCGCAAGGTTAACACTCTTAACTCATGCACATACAGCACTTCCTGTTCCCGTCGAATGTATGTGTACGTTGGGCGGATGACCAGTGGCCTCCAGTCAGTCATCGTTGCGCTATGGCCTAAAACAGGGATTCCGGCTCCGCGAAACTTCCGCGTTCGTCATACGAGTGCGGCATGCGTAAAAATAGTAGTATGAAGAGGCTGGACAAAGCGAAAAGAATGATAATGTTCGCATAGCACAGTCGTTTGCAACTGCACCTATCTCTGATAGCCAATTTTGCCTGTATTTTAGAGGTGACGCAAAAAAGCGTCGAAATAGACGACCTTTTTCGCAATAAACGAGTCGACATTGACGCCTCGAACATGAGGATATGAAATCGGACCCGGGGCCCAATGTTCGAGCTTTCTTGTGCCATCTCTACAAACGAGCAACGTGGCAGCTTTGAATGCCGTTATCTCAACGTTTTCCCCACGTTTCTCGAAAAGCAGTACTGCTGTCATTCGACCCCATTCAAAAACGGAAGTAAAATGGTTTCTTCCAAGTCTCGAACTCTTATTAAAATATGTGTTTGTGGTTCAAGGTCTCCGCTGAAGCCATGAGAGACATTTTAGCTCCCATGGCGTATGTGTAGTTCTTACCTCAATGTGTTCACGCGGTGTTTAATTGGCGTACCTGGCACACCGACCGCCTTCATCTTCCGGGCATCGGCACCTATTGTTCAGATACCGAGTTCCTTATTCGCCGCCCTCCACTTCAGTGCCGTGCTCCCGCATATACTCCGCCTTCAAGTGCGTTTCATTTGGGCGATTTCTTTTCATACCCTGTTCTGATTCCACGTCTCGTCTGCTGTTTCAGCCGACCGACAAAATCTCACCAACACGGAAATACATTCGGAGCTGGAGCGGTTAGCAAAGTCTCCCAAGGAGGGCCTTGAGAGCATTGCGAACGCTGGACAGAATTCCAGCCCCCAAGCCGACTGACGGGTCAACAGGCGCCATGCGAGGCGTCGTCTGGCCGTGATATTCTCGTCATAAAACCTAAATTGCTTCACCACTGTCACTTTTTACTTGACTCTGCCTTCTTTCTGTTCACTCGTTTTTAAAGCCAGAATTAAACTTTCTAAGCTTTTCACATCTCCTCCTTTATTTTTATCTTTGTCCGACTTCACACTTTCAGTTATACTGTGTGCTATCCAAAACTTCGGCCAAATCGCAATTCAGCAGAGGACGCGGGCTTGTTATTCACTTTTTTCTTACACTAGGCAGAACTAGGTACAGAAAGTAGGATTTTGAAGTTGTCATCCGGCATGCTCAGGCGCTCTCTCCCTCCGTTCGAGCTGTTTATCTCAGGGGTTCGAAATGCGTGAAAGTTTTGGATCGGACAGCCTGTATTAAGTCTTCCTGGCCAAATCGACCGCACCAGCCGGATTTCTGTGTCCTAGGCAATAATTGTTCGGCCCGCAAGCAGCTATGGGTACACTCCACCAGCCGGCCTCGTACAACTGATGTACGGTAGATGTGCTATTCCATGAAATGACCGAAATTCTGGAATGTGTCTCCGAAAGACTACCTAAGTAGGGTTGGAATATTAATCGTCGTGCAGCGTACTTCCAAGGCATTTCACTCACTCAAGGATGCCAACATTTGGACAAGATCCTTCCTGGCCGCCTGCACAAACTCACTTTAAAAATGGCTACTTATGCACCGTGAATTGCCCCTAATGATCTTCGATGGCCGTGAAAATTCAAACACATTCATGGAAGACATGTGCAAAAAATATGCTTTCTTGTACTCAATTCGCAGCAAATTGGGTCCTCGAACTTCATACTCGGAAAAATAGTATCTTTCGGTTTTTAGGTATGTAGTTATGAGACTTTTTAAGACTCAACCCAGAAGACAGGTTATTGATACTCCTTCCTGGTTATTACCTACTCAGACTCTTGCACGTTCGAGAGGTTTGAAGTAAAATCGCTGTTCGCACGATGAGATTTCGAAGGTGGAGGTGGCGTGCTAAAATTGCGGAAGCAGTTAAGCCTTCTGTGTTGTATAGCTGTGGTTGAAGGAAATGCAAACGGGGTGCCACTTGTACAATTGGACTAAGTAATGGCGTCATTCTGAAAATGGGATTTTCGAGCAGGAGTTGGCGCTCTGGAATTTTACAATTAAATTTGCGATGATTCTGTGCCGTGCGGGAAGAGCTGCAATTACGGCCGTATTTTGCCTTCTTTGATTTGGATCGCTCTTGAAGACCATACGAGCAAAATACTACTGGTACGTTCGGAATCAGTAAAAGCGGCATGATGAGGGTATTCGACCGCTCGCCTGCAAAATCTGCTAATCCTAGAAATGGAACAAAGTCCTCGAATGCCATGGTCCCCTCATGCACAAACGTAGGTAGTCAGTTGGTTTGGACTTTGCTCCTCCCAGGTATGGCATTAAAATCCACGACGGTTTGCCCTGATCTAACCACTTGATGAGGAGTGGTCGGTGACAGTAGCAGGACTTGCTCCTCACTCCATATATCGGACTACTGTGAGGCCGGTCGGATACCACCCGGGTGAGGGCGCCATTTTGCCCAAAAGTCTGCTACTCCACACAAACACTAGCGCAACTAGGCAGACTGCGTGGACTGAGTTGGGGCTCCAGACGGCAGCCTTCCAAGACACGGCATTTACGCACCGTGATAGTCTCAGACTCGGACCACGCATGCATCAGAGGAGCCGTATGGGGAAGGAACCGAGAAACACACTTCTCACTTGCGTGGGAGGCAGCAGTTAGGTACTTGTGATGGGTGATGGTGCTGCGTGGTGCGGAGTGTTGGTTGCGGAAGATGGGATGGTGTTGTGTAACCGACGGTTGTCTACCGCAGGTCTTTGTGAATGTGCATGTGGTTTAACAGACCCATGAGACGAGTGAATGTACGAAGGCAATGCAAACAGTGGAGGAGGATGCGGCTAGTGTAGGTTGGTGCTCCAGAAACTGATTCGCCAGCCTTTGTGAGATGGATCCGCAAGTGACCGACCTGGCCGCTATGTGAGATGAAGGTGCGATCGCAATGAGGACAGGTATGGACCGAGTCACACATCTGTGGTGTTGACGGTGGTGACGTTGATGTTTGTTAATGTGTCAGACATTTGTGCAGTGGTGGTGGGTACGGGGTCCGGCGCAGTGGATGTTGAGGCGACGTAGGGAGATGGCAGTGGGGGAGCAGGAGTGCGGTCAGTGTTGATTGCCGGCGCGGGGGGCGAGGCAAACGTGGACGGGGGAAGACATCAGGTGGTGTCGTCCGGCAGTTGAAGTTGGCTCGAAGATGTTCAGTAAGACCAATTGGTGCCCGGAAAGTCCGCTGTCAACGTGGGCAGGTCGAAGCGGTTGAACGCTAGAATTGCGGGCGGGCAGTTGAGCTTTGCGAGCTTCACGTTCGGCTTTGGCAGCGGTCATGCGGTTGGCTTCGTAGATTTCTGCGCCTGTCTTCACTATACTCCCCCAGGCCGGTCTTTCCCGGACAAGGTCTTCCTAGTCAGCCGGTTTGCTCTGCAGGGACTTCAAGGACGCCTTCAGAGAGTCCCTTTAGCGTCAGAATTAACCTCCTTGTCGGCGGGAACCTGTGCCGGCATTTCCATTGAAGAGTCTTTTGGGTAGACGCTCGTCCTCCATCCGCGCGAGATGGCTGGTTCAACGCGATTGCAGTTGCCTCTGCTTGACGTAGATGCCGAAGATTCCCGTCTGTTTTAGTGTGTTCGTGTCCGGCATCCGATCCTGCCACCTCAGCCTTAGTATCCGCAAAAAACAGCTGAGTTACGTACTTGTACTCATTGTACTTGGTACGGCGGCGATCATGCCTGTTCTAGCCGGCTTCGAAGATGTCCCAAAATGTATCTCTCTACGCGTGACGATCCGCGGCAGCCGATCTGCACAGTCCAACCCATTCCCTTCGCCAAGAACGGAGACCGAATAACGAGGCTCCAAGAACCACCTCCTTCTTTTGACGGACTTCGTCATGCCGAGTTTTGACTTGGTCCTCTCTTCGAAGTCTCCACCAAGGTAGCGGTATCGGATTGAGGGCAGTAAAACTGAACTCCTGAGGTGGAAGACGAAGAACATGCCCAAACCATCTCAGCCTTCCTTCTTCAATGGCCTGGGTTATCCATGAGATGCTGTCGCAGCGAGTGCGAACTGTCTTATATTTGAGACGAAGTCGGTGTACTCGATCGAAGGATGGTTCTCAAGCAGGGGTGGTAAAATCCCTCCTGTTTTCGTTCGTCCTCCACGCGCACAGCCCAACATTCTCAAACATAGAGAAGGATAAACCCGGACAGATGCACGGTACACGCGAATCTTAGTGGCGATGGAGATGTCACGTCAGATCCATAGGCATTTCTAAGGCTTGAGAAAGCCCGTCGGGCAGCATCAGTTCGAAAGACAATGTCGTCCTTACTTAACCCATTCAGCGGCAGCCTCACTCTGAGGTAGTTTAAACTGTCTACTTCTTGAAGTTGACAGCCGTCAATCTTCAGAGTTGCCCACTCATGATCAGGGCTGTAGCTGAAAAACACCTTCGACAGCATCGACGCAATATGCGACCCCATCCAGAATGCGGAGGGTAGGCCATCGTGCCTTACGGGACCGGTGGAAGTAGAGGGTTATATGGAAAGGGCAAATAAATGGGAAAGAAAGCGACGAAAATGAAGTTTTGGAAAAAATGTTCTAATTCCGTAAATAGGTGCAAACAGATCCGCGCACGGCATTGGATTTGACCCAAAAATCGAATACAAGCGAAATGCAACACGAAGAAGCCAAAGGAAGTTTAATATAGCGCCTACGCAATAAGACGCCAAGTTCAGAGATGAAGACTGCGAGATAGCCAATTGAAACAAAAAGACGAATGACTTTGGCGAACTCCATAAGAGTTAAGTGGGAACGTTGACCTAACGATATGACATAGTGATCCCGAACAGCGGAACACAGGGAAGCCGCCAAGGTGTCTGCAACGGTAAAGTATGCCAAAGTAGCGTGTATACCAACAGACAAATAGGCTGAATGTGATATTTAGACAAAAATATATACTATATTGAAAAAAGCCAATCAGTGTATCCAAACTAAACAACACTACTTTCATAAGAATCAGTAAGCTGTAAAAAGTAATATGCAAATATGGGTCGCATATGGCGTCCTTTCCCTTTGGTCTTCCCAGTATTTATGGATCAACCGACCGATTTAGCGACCTCGTTCACTCGTGACACCATAGACTAGAGATCACCAAAACTTGAAGCTAGTAAGGCGATATGATCGACATAGTCGAGATCAGTCTGTTGGCGTCCGGGTGCAAACTCGACACCGTCACCTTTGCGTAGGGCTTTCCCGAGAATCCAGTCAATAGAATAGTTTAGCAGAATGGACGACAGGATACAACCCTGTCGAACGTCAGACTGAATACCTAAAGGCTGGGAAAGGATGTTGCGGACCAGGACTCGTTCGGTGGTGGAGCGATAATAGGTCTTGAGCATGGCGACTATTTTTCGCAGTACGCCATCTATTGCCATTATCCACCATAGGGACTCATGATGGAGAGAATCGAACACGGCGGCAAAGTCGACAAAGCAGACGGCCGTCGATTGCTCGTAGCTGTAGTGGAATTCGAGAATGCGCCCCAGTGTGGATACTTGGTCGACACGCCAACGTCCAGCACAAAACCCGGCTTGGTTGGGCCTCGTCCTAGAGTCATGCACAGCCTGGAATCACCTGAGAAAGACAATTGCGAGGATCTTCGCGGCAAGGTCGATGAGGCTTATGCCGCGGTAGTCCTCGCATATTGTCTTATATCTCTTCTTTAGGATAGGTATAAGCATACCTGAGCCCCAGTCATCATAGCAGTGGTGGAATTGGTTGAGTTCCCATGCCCGCTTCTTGTAAACCGTTTAGGTCTCTGCTCCATATAGCAGCGTCGGCAGAATGACCGCTTTGTACACCTTCAGTTTGGTGCTGACGTGAAGACTGCGTCGACTCTTAACCGTGTTTCACAAACGGCCAAAGCTTGGCTGGTCTTAAAAATCCGGTGGTCCACTTCATTACCGATCTTGATGTTCCGAGAGAGGGTGTTGTCCAGGTGGGTGAGGTTGCTCACGGCTTGCAGTTGGATGCTGTTCACGTGGATTTGGGCTGTATTGTAGGCAGCGTTGGGTAGCGGTGGTGCATAACCCCCGTCTTCTCCGTGTTCATGATTAGGCCGAAGTCGTCGCAGGCGGCGTCGAAGAGGTCCATGCTCCTTTTCATGTCCCCTTCAGAGGTGGCGTTGTGAGCGCAGTCGTCCGCGAAGAGAAGCTCATGGACAGTAGTTATGGATCCACGCGACTGGAAGTCCATTCGCTGCTGATTGAGGAGTTGGCTGTCCCTCCTGTAGGCGAAGCGAATGCCTGGACGCTCATTACGGTAAACGTCTATTAGCATGGGATAAAACGCAAGACTGAAGAGGATGGAGGCGAGGATGAAGCCCTGCTTCACTGCGTCGTTCATTGCGAATGCCTTTGAAACGATTACATTGTCCGTGATGTGTGGAACTGACGCGACATCTGAGTGAATTGTTCGGGACAGCCGAAATCCAGTATAATTTTCTCAAGTCCTTCGCGATTCGCCGTGTCGAAGGCTTTCGTCAGATCCATGAAGGTAGAATGGAGGTTGGTCCGCATCTGCTATCACTTATTTTGCAGTTGGCGGAAGACGAAGATCATATCCATGGTTCGGCAGTGACGGCGGAAGCCGCACTGGCTTTCTGACAGAAGACCCTGTTCTAGATGATTGTCCAGGCGGTTCATAAGAGTGTGCGCGAAGATTTTCCCTACGATATTCAGCAGAGCGATTTCTTGGTTGTCGCAGATTTGGCGATCCCCCCTCCGCTTTGATGGGACCCCGGTGGGTCTTTAATAAAAAATAATCAAAAATAATCATCATTATAATGGACGATTGTAGCCTCCTTGAAGTTCTGGGGAAACTTATTCTTGGGACCACATCTCCTGGAAGAGCCCCGTCAGATGATCAATGAGTTGCGGGCCCCCGTGCTCATTGATCTCAGCGGGACTTACGTCCGATGCAGATGCTTTCCCCGTAAAGGGAGCTATTGCATGTCCTGATGGTTTCGTGGGGAGAGGGCGGGAGGTCGAGGTCGGCGTTGGTCTCCACTTGAGGCGGACGGCCGATGGCGGGGTGGGAGATGGTGGAGAGGACGTCTCTGATGTGCTCGACCCATCACTAGAATTTCTGTCTTCTCGGTGGGTAAGGTACTGCCGTAGGCCCTGAGAAGAGGAGCAATTCCTTTGGCCGTTGACCCGTAAATAGTCTTGATCACGGAGAAATGTTCTTCCATTCGTTGCGGTCAGCATACCTTTGAATCTTCTAGGTCTTCTAGGCCGCCTGCATCCCCCACAGCCGCTGTTGCACAAGGCGGCGGCTACGGTACAAGGCTGCTTTGCTGTCGTCGGTAGGGCGGTTTTGTGCAGTCGTTTCTTTTCGACGAGAAGGTTGTTGATGGTGTCGTTGTTATCACCGAACCAGTACTGATGTCCACAACTCGTGCGACCGAGCTCACCCAGGGCGGTCGAATGGACCATGTCCTCCTGTTCAAACCATCGGTTCTCCACAGAGTGGTTGTTGTTGGCCGCGGCGACGGCGGCGACTCGAAGGCTGGCTAGCCTTTGGGCTAATTCATTGCTGAAATGGAGATGGTAAGTAGACAAAGACAACAAAGTAATATTCAATTAACCTGGGAGTTGCTTACCTTTAGGCCTCCTGCGAGGCTGTAGGCGAATCCTTATCTTGGAGATGACGAGGCGCTGGTCGGTCTGCCAGTCCGCACCCGCGACCGCCTTTGTTACCAGCCCGTCACACTGGTCGCGCCTCAGGACGATGACATAGTCTACCAGATGTCAGTGGCCTGACCGAGGGTGCATCCAGGTGGCCTTCTCTCGCGTTGGAAAGCGGAAGAAGGTGTTGGTCATGATGACGCGGTGTTATGCACAGGTTCGTAGAAGGAGTGGGCCGTTGTCATTGGAGATGCCCAGACCATGGGAATCCAGCACTCCTCTCCAGACAGCATGATCTGTTTCGACGCGGGCGTTGAAGTCACGAAGGACAATCAACTTGTCCGCCTTCGGCACAGTCGCCAGGAGTGCGTGAAGATCCTCGCAGAATATGTCCCTTGAATCTTCAGGGCTGGTTATCGAGCAAACGTAGACACCGATGATGGTGACGAATTCACCTCAGCGAAAAGATAGGCGGAGGCTCATCAGGCGATCATTGATGCCTTGCGCAAACAGGCCAGTCGTCCCACGATGTCGTTCCGCATGACAAAGGCGACGCCCGCATCCCGTTGCTCTGCCTTGGCGCGACCGCTCCAGGAGAAGGTGTAGCTGGCACTCACCTACTCCAGTCCGCTTCGTTTGTAGAAATGGGTTTTGTTGAGTGCAGCGATGTCCACCTTGTAGCGCGCCAGTTCCCGAGCGAATAACACCGTCCGTCGTTCCGGCCGGTTGCTCCTAGGACTTTCGAAAGAGGAACGAACATTCCGGGCCGCCACAGTGAGCGGACTCACCCTAGCTGCCTGTGGGGTGGGGCGGTGGTGAGAGTGAGGAGGAGGAGGGAGAGAGAGGGGGTATTCTATCTTGTGTTTTGGTGTCGACCGCATTTTAAGCAGTCTGCGAGGCACAGCCTACGCACAGATGTCGTGAACCAAGCTTTGTTTAGGCAACATCTCACAGCTCTTTCCCTCGCTCGGGGAAGTAATGCTGTCCCTAAATAGGGCTGCTTAGACATCCCGGACGGCTACCGGACACCACTGTTGCCCACGACTTTGTTTGGCGGGAAAACGACCCGAGTTAGCCTGGGCCGCCTACGTGTTTGCTGGCGCTCTCGTCGTAGTACTTTCAATCGTGGGACAAGACAGTAAGGTGGAGTAGAGGATAAATAGTGTGAAGGTCGGAGAAGAAGTGCGGAGAGGAGGTACGAAGGAGTAGAAAGGGACAGGTCATCCAAGCACGGGGTCAGTAGCTTGATGAGTGCTGAAATGTAAGGCTCATTCGACAAAGACAGCCGAGCGATGTTCAGTGTACTTGAGCTATCACTTACCATGTGACCTTGTGCACCTGGAAATTGCGATATCACCAGCTGACAACGTTAAATAAGCCAAAATCACCATTTCAGTGGCCTCGTGTTTGTTTAATGAAGCAACTCCGCAACAAACGGCAGCACAAGTTTGTGATGCTATTGTCAAGCTGTCCATCGCCGCGAATAGCAGGTATCTTCATACGCCTAGAACTTGCCTCACTAACTTATCGCGGTATAATACTTTTTATGTGACCTAATTTCCGCTAGTGCGTAATTTAGAAACGGAACGGGTAGTAGATTAGCAGTTTTCGCTATATCTTGGAATTCATACGGCAAATCTGCTGTGCATGTACAACCTTAGGACGGAATCAAAAAGCAAGCAAATATAGCGAAAAAGGCCATATTTAATGGGAAAAGTAATTTCTTTTATTTGCAGCTGAAAAATCACTACTACTTCTCAGGGAAATGAAAAGGTCTAACAAAGGTCCCAATTTTTACTTCAATTTGACTACGGAAAAGGTAAGTTATGAATATTGGGGCTAAACTGTTTCCGTTGTAGATTTTAACACGTACTACATCCTTTGAAACACCACCTGCATTGTCGCTTACTCTTATGCGCTAATTTGATGATGCGATGTATACGGGTAAATTTGGATACCTGGTGGGTAGAAGGCGTCACAAATAATGATGCAAATATCTCAAAAATAACTTTTGATTGCAGACCTTTGCAGCGTGCAGCATCGAAAGAGAGGAATAGCTATATAATAAAAAATTCTTAAAAAATTAACTTTGCGCATTATTTATGTTAAGAACTATTTCGGTTTATGCAGCCACCGAAAACAACGGAAAAATTATACACAAATTGCCACGCGTGATTTTACAGATGACTGGGTAGTTGTTCCTTAAAAACTCAGTACGCTGTCGCGTGGGAGTTCATCTGAAATTATCTCACCTGCTGTTGTAGACGGTTTGGTGCATTATCTACAATGACCTCAGCTCAGAGAGCTGATAAGCGATCTGTGTAGACGGTCTAGTGCCTCGCCCATAAAACCTCTATTACCATCTTTCCCGTTAGACAGACACCTTTGGCTGGTCGTGTGTGTTTGGGGTCCTTCACCCGATGATCGCCCAATTTTGTAATCTTACCTAAATAGCATTTTCCTGTTTGGAAATGCACAGAAGGTTTTGGCCAAGAACCCACCAGTTTGGCCGCTTACTGCGACCTGATGAAATGTGCGCTAGAATACCTTAAATTGTGCCATCTAGGTCAAAGGTGACCCACCTAGGAGAGTGAGTCTAAAAATGTCAAGTCGTCTTTGGGCTGGTTTGTCTCAAGATAACCTTTACCAAGCTGCTAGGCACAATAACAAACTCTAGGAAAGTCCAAGCAGACGGATTTTGAAAACTAACTCGGGTAAGATAGGGGAAGACCGGCAGAAAACCCAAAAGAAGAGACGTGAATGTGCAAAAAACGAATTAACGCAGCAAGGTGGATCAGATTCCATATTACGGGAGGGGACTGACTGGAGAACTAAATAACCATGAAAAGGATGATCTGATAGCCAGAGTACCCACACTTTGTTAAACCTTTAACATGGCTCTCTAGATAGTAGTTCTTGTCATTTACACCGCTCGGGTATATTAAAACCGACAGTCCTTGTTATGTGCTCGTAAGCACATGAGAGCAGTCACGCACTTCCACGTCCGGAAATGAAGGTAAAAAGTACCAGTGCGCCTGTTAAACGCCTGCTTGAGGTTGTGAGTGACAATTCCTGACCGTCGATCTACAATGGTGGTTGTCATTAGGTCTCCAATGCTTTTCTGAAGAAGTGAGCATGCCATTTCGATCTGCTTTGAACAAATTTTCGTCTTCTTATGCATGATACAACCGGCACCCTCCTGTCCCTATCTCTGGACCTCCTCCAGGGGCGCATTCTGCGGCCAGACTCCGCGATATCAGCGACGACACTGTCCGAAGCGCCATCCGACCCTCACGTCGATATATCGACTACGTAGAACAGAAACAGAACGGATTAGATTGCTTAGTCCGTTGTTCCTCCCTTCTTACACTGCATCTGACTGCACTCACACAGAAGGTCAGGATTAAGTACAGCGAACGAGAACTGAAAGGACAAGTTTTCCGTCGTTTTTCATACCAGAGCCTTACCATTGTCATGAGCCGCGGCTTAATCCAGGACTGTAACAGACAATACATTTGAACTACGGTATGTTTCTGCTAAACCTCAGCTTTGTTTTAGAAGATTCAAACTGTCTCATCCCAGACAGAGCGACCGAGGAAATTGATAACGATCCCAGCCGACCGCGAATGCTATACTATTGGGACGGTCGTTTTCCACCTTCCTCGACCATTTATAACAGGGTGGATTTTGGAACGATCATGTGGTGTTAGAAGATAT